CTGAATGTTTGGCATACCTGTTCTAAGTGCCTTTTAGCATAAAGCAGAGACTAGAATGTCATTCTCTTGCTGATTTCATGAACAGCATCACTGTGAATGTGAGACAAGTGTCTATTTGTTTCCAGTTTGATACAGACATTGCAAACAGCCTTGAACAGAATGTAGGTTTACACTGGGAAGATTGGTGAACAAGAGCATATTTTAACAGTTTGAGACCAATCTTCATTATGTTGGTGGGTTTCCTTAGATGTCTGAGTTTCATGATAATGTGCTCTGGGATTCCTGTGAAGAAAATGCTTTGGAGCTTTTGAATTGAGAAAGACTTGTGAAGAGAAGATATTGTGCACAGTAATTTTTAATAGCCTGTGCCTCTCAGAGTGTCTGGTGTTTACTAATCTTTCTGATCATCAAGAATTAATTTAAGGCAGAAAGCAACAAGAAGCATAAGTGTGGTGTAGCTTCTCTGAGGCATCCTAAATCTCAGAAGGATTTTACTCTATCTCAAAGTACACTGAAATACAACATTGACAGAGATAACAAGCAGGGATAAGCAAATTCAAAGAAATCATCTTATTCAGCAGTTGCCTGGAGATACAGGATACAGACCCACCAATCTGAGTTGGTTATGCAGACAGGGAGAGAACTGCAGCTGGATTCCCAGAGAATTAAGCCATGCTCCCATCTGGCAGGATTTTGGAATTCAAAATTTGAATGGATTTCAGAAACTTAGGGAGCTGAAGTCACAGTTCTAAGGGTTAGGTGGCTGGTTTAAGTGTATGGACAACTGTACCTCAGTTCTGATTTGCAAACAAATACTGAAAATTCTTCGTGGCCCACAGCCTAGCACAAATTCCCCTCTTTTCAGTGCACTCGCCTATACATCAGGAAGGAGAACAGATATCAGTGAGAATGTTAAGATGCATGGGATAAAGAGATTTAAAGATGCTAACAATGATGACTATTCAGATACTTCCCTGGGAAAGCACCACACTAAGTTGGCTAGTTCACACATAAGCAGGGGGGACTTTCTTGGTGCTGGTCCTATTTTACCACTTGCCCTCAGTACCAGTGATATTTGGCAATATAATGCCACATTTAGGATAGTTTTTAGGAAGTAAGTAAATATAAGCCAATAAGTACTCCAGTCATTTAAAAGACATATTGCTGCCACAAAGCCAAATATATTTAGCATGCTTCCCCGGTGCAGATTTTATGCCATCACAAGACATAGTCTCAAGATTTTAAGTCCATCAAAAGATAGCAAAACCATGTTAACTCTGAGCAGACATTAAGCACTTTAATAGTAATGAATAATTTACCATAAAATATACCTAATACCTAGTCAGAAAAAAAAGCCCTTGAAACAAAAATAGCACAAATTTTTTTGTGGTGTAACATTATGTGTGAGGAATCAGACCTAGAATCATAGAATCACTGAATGGTGTGAGTTAAAAGGGACCATGAAGATCATCTACTTCCAACCCCCCTGCCATGGGCAGGGACACCCTCTGCTAGACCAGGTCTTAAGAGTCCTATCCAGCTTGAGCTTGAACACTCCCTGGGATGAGGAGTCCATAATCTCTCTGGCAACCTGTTCCAGTGCCTCACCATTTTTTCCTAACATCTAATCTAAACCTACCCTCCTTCAGCTTGAGACCATTCCCCCTTGTCCTTCATCCCAGGGCTCATCTCAATCCATTCTCTGCCCAGCCTGTGTTTGTGCTTGGGATTGCCCCAAACCAGGCACAGGACCTTCCACTTGGCCTTGCTGAACTTCTTGAAGTTCTTGTGGGTCCATCTCTCAAGCCTGTCCAGGTCCCTCTGGATGGCATCCCTTCCCTCCAGCACAATGACCACACCACACAGCTTGGTGTCACCTGCAAACTTGCTGAGATGCACTCGATCTCACTGTCCATGTCTCCAGCAAGGATGTTAAACAGCACCAGCCCCAGCACCAGCCCCTGAGGAACCCCACTCCACCTGCAGAATTACAGCTTGTCACAAAAGCAGGCTTGGAAATTTTGGGGCTATACTGATCTCTTGAATATTAAGATTGCACACATACCCTGCATATACTCTTGTTCCTCTATCTAGGAATAGGTTTCAACCCTAAGAAAAATAAATAAAACACTCTGAATTTGTTAGAGAATGCATAACTGTGCTGCAAACAGAATCAGGCAAACACCTGATGGAAAGCAGGTATCGCCTCTGTTCCTTAGGGAGCACAGCAAGATAGATAATGGTCTGTCACACTGAAAGAAAATGGAGATTCTTTCCTATCAAAAGACTAAATCATATTTAGGATACAGTTTACTTTATGGGAGAACTTCTGGCAATAACCATGAAGAAAAGTGGTTTTATTCATCTTGATTACTGTCAGGGATTTTTCCACTGTGTAAACAATAACTCATAGGTATTCAGGCACCCAAAGCTTTGAAACAGCTTTGAGAGAAGACAGCAACTGACTTCACTTGAATCCAAACTCATCATATAAACCTCTTGATAGTTATTATTCTAAGAAGCACATTGCCTGTTTTTGCCTGCATAGACTACAAAGTGCATGAAAAGTACTGAAAGAGCCTGAGAAGCTGCTGGGGGAGGGAATGCAAATTTATTCAGACCCTTTTAAAACAGTAGACAAGCACTTGTGCTAATCCTAGAGATGTGCTTGTTTTTCTGAACTGTTGCAAATGTTCTCTTAAGATAGTAATGAAAATTTAACTTGGAATTTACCTAGCATTACACACATATCACATAAAATTAACACTAGTCTGTACACCCTTTGCAATTTTGACTGTGTTCAGATTAAAGCAGACAGGGCTTGCTCAAATGAATATTTTTGGACCATAAAAAGGTACTTTTAAGCCCTTGTTTTCCGTGGGAAACTGTGCTTACTTTGTTTAAACATCATATATACCAAATTTTTAGAATTTGGTCTGAGAAAGCTGAGGAAGAGACTCATAACAGAAAAAAAAAGGCAATTTCTTCCCCAAGGTGATGGGGAAAAACAGCACATAAGATAGGGATGACAACTCTGTAACACTTCAGTAACAATTAGTCATCATGTCTTAGCAGAACATAATACAATAAAACCTATTTTTCTAGGATTTTTGTTCACCTTTTTTCTTTTTAACATCATGTACTTTACAGTGCCTTTTTAGACCAGATATTATTGTTTTTTTCTTCCAGATCCTTAGAGGTTAGGAAACAATTTTCTTTCATTTGATTCCTCTCCTGGGAAAAAAAATTCAGCAGCTTGTTAGTTTCCTCAGTGCTCTCTGTATAACAAAAGGCAGCATACATGGAAGCCCTCATTTTTCTCTTCACTCTACTGCTCCAGACCTGCAGCTTCTTTTAAGTTTCCTTGGGCACTGAAGATGTTCAGCAGCTCTAAGGATAGAATACAGTCAGACCAAGCAAATATCAGACCCTCATACTGAAACCATGGACTTAATAAGGACTGGAGTTCTAAAACAGATAGTAGTGATTTTAGACAGACATAAAAACAAAATATTTCTTCCAAGTGAATGAATGCATCAAGAAAGATGTGACTTGTTAGAAAAATACCTTATTTCTCTTTTCTTGAGTGGTCATGTCCACAGGCTCTCGTTATATTTTGTAAAGTGCAACACAGTAAAAGCCATTCCTACTCACATCTCAGTCTAACTACTGTCATAATACAATTAATATAAAAATTTTTTTGTTATTCTTACCTTCCATGTGTATCCTCCTCTTTTCTTTTTTCTTGCCTTTTTCTTCTTTTGTGCTGTATTTTATTATTTATTTGTTGTCCTTTTTTCTGCGCACTAGTAGTTAATTACCTTTTACATACACTGGAAAATTCTAATAAAAGGACTAGGACTTAGAAAATAAACTTTTGTCTTTTTTAATTGATGGAAAATCCGCAAGTTTAATTCGGCAACCCATTGAGATAAATGCATCAACAAATAAATGTCCCACTCATGAATGCAGCACAGCTAACAAGAAACTGCCTAGGAAGTTTTAATTTATTTGGGTATCAAACAATTTATGCTCAACAGATTTGGGCCAGATAATAGCTTTCCAATACAACCCCAAGATTACAGACTAAACCCCAGCAGGGCAGCTGATTCTTAAGCACTGGGAAATCTCTCACTGGATTAGAGCACACATATTTTTCTTTCAGAGTGACAGGCAAGCAAGTGCACGCCAGAAAAATGCCTGAATGAAGAAGGGGTTGATATAAAAGTGTCCTTTGCAGGTAGTCCCTACTTAGGCTCTTCTAGGCTGCTCTATAATCTCAGGTCCTGATGACCTGAAGAAGAGGTAGTACAAAGATCCTATTTAGCCTATGAGCCTCTGCCACAGCATATGGTACAGCACATGCCACAGTAGGGATGGCCATGACACACGGAGTATCCTCATGCAAGTTCAGAAAGCTTTAAGCAGTCACCCATACAGAGTAACACCACACCCCATCAGAAGGCTGCAGACATCTGCCCATACAGAGGAACACCAAATCACTCCAGAAGGCTGCAGGCATCTGCTCTTGCTCTTCAGCCAAGCCTTTTATACCCCCCGTGTTGATGCACTGCCCCTGTGTGCCCTCTGCTCCCTTTGTGGTTGCTCAGTGCCCCGGCACTCCATGGCTCATTGCCGTCAGTGCTGCTCACCTGCTTTGCACAGCTGTCCCACATGGGGATGAGGCTGGGCCCAGCTCCACTCCCAGTTACCACAAACTGGATGCCTACAAGCCTCTTGTTTACAGTGCAGGTTATTTTTCTGTTTATACTCTGCACCCATCTTAATCCAGAAAAGAAAAAGTGAGCCTAGTCTGAGACTGCTGATACCAGCCACAGGTAAAAATTGAGGTTATCTTGAGATTAGAAGTATCAAGAGAAAGAAAACAGAAGCATAATACCTTAAATAGAAGAAATATAAATGTTATTTTAAATAATAATAATCACATTTATAACTAAGTCAGATGTTCAACATTAATAACTGACATAAGGAAGCAATCATATTTATAAAGGAGATATTTATTTCTGAAGATTCAAAGAGGCATTGCACTTTTTTCTTTTGCATCTGAAAAGCAAACATTGTACTTGAGGAATCTATTAAAAATAACAGAGTAAAAGGGAGGAAACAGCATTATCAGTTCAGAATTTCCAACCTCTTTTCAATTTGCTACCACTTAAGAACATTACTGGTTCTTCAGAGCAATAACTGCATAGCATCTCGGGGACTTCACAGGATCAAATAACTTCACAAGACCAGACCAGGCAATGTTTTCCTGAAAATGACATATGATTGTAGTGCATAAAAATTTGTTTGACTTATAAGCTAAAATATTGTAATAAATCCACATTTTGAAATACAAAATTGAAAATAAATAGAATTACGTTAATGCAAAGCAGGAAAACCACTTATCTAACAAGGAAATGGGGGGAAAGTTTGTTGTGAAAAAAGGACATTTAATTATTTTTGGTGCTATCAAGTGATAGCTTCCCACCTCCTTCGTCAATAAAGCTTTGCTTTTTGGTTGAACTGGAACAAAGAAATTAAGGATCATGTCATACTCATTTTATGTTGCACATTCTACTACTGAAGCTAATTAAATGACTTTTCAAATGAATCAGGCTGGCTGGATCAGGTCATCATGCTGCATTTGGCTTTTATAACTTTTATTTTTCTTCCTAAACACATTTTGTGAATCAATCAGTACAAGATTAAATCCATGCATATATTACATTTAGAAAAGGTGAATTAGTGCTATATGCAGCAAGTTTGATTTCCCATCTTGGAAATTATACAGATTTCTATGCAATTTTTAACTAGTTGCCATTTGGGAAAATACATCATTATTTAACTATTTCAAATTGCCTCTTTGTAAAAATACCAGTTAGAACAAAGGCATGCATTTACTACAATTCAATTGTTCCAAGTGCACCATGACAGAGAATAAAGTGAGTTTTCACTTATGATAAAATGGAGCTGTTAAAATGAAAGGTTTATAGGGGAAAACCACTGCTATTCATATGAATGAGTTTAAACTTTATTTTAAAATTTTATTTTGACCATGGGCCAGAACAGAAGCTGGAAGATGCTACCATTTCCTCCTAGGTAATTATTAGTTGTGTGAAAAATGTTTACTGGTGCAGAAGAAGTATTACCAGTGCTTTCAAGTTAAACAGGCCAAGCTTCAAATCAGTGTTAGAAGAAATAGTGTAATAATGTAAGTCATCATGGAGTAAATGCAGTAGCATTTGCTTATTACATCCCAGATCTATACTTGTAAAATATATCCAGGCTGCATGTTACTCAAATGTACCTCAGCTGACCCATACAGTTAGAAGAAGTGCACCCTCTCTCATTATTGATCTTAATTAAGAAACAGTAAAAGAATGTCATAAACATTTTGGATCTAATTCAAAATTTTTTGAATTGTATGTTCCAAAGCACATTAATTGAAAGTTCAAGTCTTAACAGCACAATATTTCTTCAGAATTTCCAAAAATTTTAGATTATTAAATAACTCATTATGGTGTATAAAATGAGATTTGATGCATCTTTGATGAATTTATTTTACTATCTATTGACTAGTAATTACCATACAATTAAAAGACCATAAACTTTACTGTTGCTGCTTTGTTGAAAATAAAAACATCTGCTGGGCATATGTTTATACTAAATGGAATGAATGCTTATACTTTTGCAAATATGATGAGAATAATAATTCTGCAACAGAGACTTTTTGTCTGCACAGTAATAAATTGACTGAAATAGCCTCATTTCAGTGATGTAGCCTTTAGGTATCATAAAAGAGAATGCAAAAATACCTGCTCCTTGAGGTAGCAAAGACGATCCAGGAGTATCAAAACCTCTATGCAAGGAGCCAGAACAACCTTCAACTGAAAGAAAGATTAGATGCTATAATCCTTTTGGGAAAGACAGGCAATACACTTCCAAATGGCTACATTTCCTCACAACAATTCCAGGAAGGTCAATTATTTTTTAGGGGTTCTGTTGTATAAATATCACCTTGCTAGTTTTCCCTGTGGGATGGACATCTTCAAAACAAATTATATTAAAGATCAAAAATACATGGAATGCCATAAAGTCAGGGAATTATGTTATTTAGTTGTTTTTCAGACACTGTCCAACAAGAAAATAATATTAAATGTAGCAGAACAATTTTAAAGAGGGAAATAATGAATTTCAATAAAAAATGTTTTTTTATGAAATAACTGCATGGAGACCAGTCTAGATTTAAAAGGAGACTGACATTCCATTTTCCAGTGCAATAGTCCCTCTTGAAAAAGAATCTACCATGTGTTCACTTTATTACTTTACTTACACCTAATATAGTTCTGGAATAGGATACACTCCAAAGTATGGAAGGGGGAACTGCTTTGTTTTTTGAGATTGCATACCACAGTGTAAGACTGTCCACCTCCACATAAAACTTAATAGGGCTTTGTTCTAGACTAGCACATATATATATGCAAGGTAGTAGTATTAATCCCATAACTTTTACCATGTTAAATGCTTCAAGCTCATTCATTCTGTGCTTGTACTTTTCATAGTAATCCATTATACAGCTGTCTGGGAGCTGCAAGGGATTAAAAAAGAGATATCAGAGTTACTGTAGTTACTTTTTCAAGGGAACTTTGGAATTAAATATTGACACACTACAAAATGAAATCTGTGTTTCGTTTTTGAAATTAGCACTTTGCTAATATTTATAATAATTTTCCAATAGCACTTTCTCAGTTCTTATTTACAGTAACTGTTCTTCACACAGCATTTCCTACTGACATGAAATACTGAGATATATCCATTATTCAGAAAACTCCAGTCATTCTTAAATGAGAAATACACAGTAAAGTGGAGAGTGGCCAGCACTGCCTCTATGACTGTAAATGCTGCAATTTGGGGTTGAATTTCATACACAGACAGTCCAGGAACTTGGCCCTTGCTGGCCAGTGCAGCAGAGCAGATGCTGCAGCTGTGGCCATGACTGCTCTTCACAAAGCATGTCCTCTACAGGGCAGCCAGACCACCACATCTCCTGGCTCTTGAAGGTCATGATGTGTCTGCTCTGCTGACCACAGTCCTGGACACTGAACAACACACTTGAGCTGGCCAAAGAAGTGAGAAGTAGGATTGCAGCATTATTGCTGATGGATGCTGCTGGGAAGAGCAGAGCTGGAAGAGCCTGATGCACTTCTGCAGTACTGGGAGTTTTGCAGTATGGCTGTTCTGTCATGGCTATGGAACAAGGGAGTCCAAACTTAGCAGAAAAGTAACAGCTCTGACAGACATGTAGATGTGGCACTGAGGGACATGGCTTAGTGGAGCACTTGCAGTGCTGAGTTAACAGTTGGAATTGCTGCTCTTGAAAGTCTTTTTCAGCCTAAATGATTCTATGACTCAAGACTAGGAAAGCTGAAGTGCTTACTGAATTTTTACACATTTTATTAGAAAAATCATCTGAGAGCATGTGGCTAATACAGTTGCAAAGAAGTCAAATCTTTGTCTAAAATAGGGAAACAAACCAAGAAACATTTAAAAAATATGTAAGTTTTCAAATCAGGTGAGTATTACAAACTTTATCCTGGGACAGCCAAAAAGGGACTGAAGTGACCTCAGAACTTTTGCTCATTGTCACTGAGAAGTTCTCAAAGATAGTATGTCAGACAGATAGCAGATATATCTTTTATTACAGAACAGACAGTTCAGATCAAATGCACTGAAAAAATTGAACAAATAAAGAATTTAAAACCACTGAAAGATGAGCAAATGACTAATAATCAACACAAATTCATCAAGGATAAATCACAAGTCAGTCTACTCCACTTGTAAGGAGGGTAAAAGGATTAATGACAGAGAAAAACAAGTGGTTCTCATATAATTTGATTTCGAAAATATTTTTGATAACATTTCCCATAATAATTTTATAAGCAAATTCAGAAAATGAGGCTCAGATTAAAGTACTAAAAAGTCAGTGAAAACTGTTTGAACAACTATAACCAGAGAGTGGTTCCTAATGGGTCTTTGAGTGACTGGAACAACCTGCTAACTGGAGGTCCATTATGGAATGCAGCATTTTCATTAAGAATTCAGACAATAGAACAGAAACCACCTTAGCTAAGCCTGCAAATGTGCAACAGAAAGGCATTGCCAGAACTTAAAACAACTTTCAGAAACTGGAGCATTGCTTAGAGAAGTTTGAAATGCTGTGCAGAAAAGCAGAAGGGACTATGCTCAGGCAGAAATAATCAGCTGTTCAGGATGGGGAGCACCAAATGACAGTCTGGAAGACAGAACAGATCATAAGCTGAGTGAGAGTCACAGTTGTGCTGCTGCAAAAAAACCTCAAAAACCAATCACCATTCTGTGACATGTATGGGAGAGCAGCCTGCAAAGTGCAGGAAGTAATCCTTCAACTCTGGCAGTGGAAAAGCTCTAGCTGGAATACTGCATCCATTTTTGGGCATCAGATTTCAAAGAAAGAAATGAACTGTCTGAAAAAGCCCTGAGAGGGAAAATAGATCAGAGATCTAGAAAACATGACCTATGAAGAAAGACTCAAGAGAACTGGAATTGATCAGGCTAAATGAGACAAAATTGAGAGTGGGGATAATGACAGTTTTTACAAGGCTATCACCAAGAAGTAGGGAATGGTTTGTTCACTGTGTCTGTAGTGGATAGGGCAAGAACTAATGGGCTTGAATTGCAGCAAAAAAACCCCCAAAAACCAAAACAGTCAGCCAAAAACTTGAAGAAACATTTTCTCTTAGAGTTTAATTAAGGACTGGCAAGGTTGTCAGTCTCCATCACAGGAAGCTTTTAGAAGATCTGACAAATACTATTTTCAGGAATGATGCATAATTCTAACCCTGCTTTAAAACAAGAGATCAGAAAAAACTTTTGTAGTATTTCAGTCGTATTTTTTAATTTAGAAAGTACATTTTCCCAACTGCAAAGGCAAGGCTGAGTAGCTTATCCAGCAGTACTAATGTGGATTAACAATAATTTTTTTGGTCTTATTGCTATTTTATTTCCTGTGAAGCTGTGCAAATATTTTAGAGTTCTTTTTGTTTTTCCCTTCTCCTCTAAACAGTCAAACCAACTAAAATATACTGGTCATGAAATAAACAAAATAGTTTATTTAACCTCTGCCCTATAAGCTTTTCATTTCAACTGAGTATTAATAGGGTTTTAGTATAATGGATTTTCAAAATTACAGGCTATTTGGAATTAAAATACAAAGATCTATATTTGGAAAAATGTGATCTTGAAACCTTTCTGCTTTTGCTTCCTTTAAGTTCTCCATTTTTCAAGATGAAGCATTCAAATCAAAAGAAAACAAGCTGTTAAATGTTTGGCAAATACAAAGTGGGTCAAAAATGTCTCTTGCACACTGCCATACTCAACTATGTGCTTTTCCATTCCTTCCCTGCCTATTACGCATTCTGACTGAACACATCCTGCTGTCATGGATAGACGAGGTACTATTCCAAACTGTGCCTCAGATAACAGTTTGGTGAGCAAACCAATTCAATGCAACAGCTCAGCTGGAAAAGAGAGGAAGTGTCCATTGAAAAGCATTGGTAGAGAAGGGCGTGAAAAGGGTAACTGGTAGTTAGCCATGTGGCCAATTTACTGGAAAACAACTAAAATCCAGATAACACTGGCTTTGTCTGAAACTGCAATAGCTTTCCATCTGCCTTCGGTACCTAACACAAACTTCAGCTCTCCTTCCAAGGTGAAGTAGGAGTAGTTTACTCTTGGCATTTTTGAAGAATTGTACTTCCACATGCAAAGCAAGCCCCATTCAGCCACTGAAGCTGTCCAAGCAACTGTTCTCTGTGTTGTCACTCACTTGTGTGTCCAAAAAAAATTCTTCATATATATGCACTGAACATTTTTCTTACATTTTGATGCTGATATTATGAACATGAAAAAACTCAAATATATACATTTCTCTGAATGATGGCTCTGCACTCAAAGATCTAGTTTATGTTACTGACACTGAAGTGACCTTAATTTCATTTTGGCCAGTACTTCCTCCCTGATACAGCTACAATGTCTCCTGGTCTTTATCAGGTAATCAACAAAAGGACCTCATCTCTCATCTCTTTGTATTGTCATGATGCTGCAAGCTTTATTTGGAACTAATTTCTTTGTGGATTGATGTGGTCACTCAAACACCTGGTACAAGCAGGACAACCTGTCAAGGTCTCCAGCCACCTAGTTGTAACAATACCATATAGGTATACCATAAATACCATCTGGTGGAGATGGCACTAAACATGAGGCATAGGGCTGACTGATCTGTTGTGAACACGGTGAGACTGTCACAGAGCTCTGACAGCATGTGAGATACCACACACCTGAGCACACCCACCTTGGACTGCAGTCCCACAGGCACGCTGATAGAGCACAGGCTGAAAAGAAAATATTCAGGCACAAGCAGTGGGGCAATTACTGATACCACACTTCACGTTTCTTCAGAGAGGATTTTTTCAGCGCTGTATCCTTTCCTAGACTAAGAGTATTTTCACTGAATCAAAGTCTCTTTTACTGCCCAATGCTGCACATGTCTTCCAGAGAGGAGACAGCCAAAGGATGCTATTCCACACAGTCTGTTAGATGCAATCCTCTTTGCTACCTCAAAGGGACTGCTTCTTCCTGCACACACTGCTTCCTACTGCACAATTCCATGTTTCCTCTCTCTACTTGTACCAGCACTATCAGGAACACTAATGAGAGTACAAGAAAACTGTAAGGCAATCCTTGTAGCAGAGCAGTGTCTTAGATCAGTTAAAAACATTTGGGAGAACACACCTAACAGGAAATTTTACAACTTTTCCATGACTAAGGTAGTTAAAAATAATGTAATGTTATATACTGAAAAATAATGTAAAACAGATAATGAAATTACTGAGAGACTTAAGTTTATTTAGAACTTTGTTTAACGTACATTTCAAACGAATGGAATCTATATTATTTATAATTATACCTAACTGAGACACAAGTCACATCTCTTAGGACTCCTTGTCAGAGTAAAATGCTACAGTGCCATAACTGGGATAGTATTTTGTCTATGTGAAAAACAGTTATGCTCAAAAACAGCATTATGTTCTTACACTTTATAGAGTGCTATGCAAGTGTTACCTGAGCCATCATTTAGTACTTTCCTAACTAAAAGAGGAAACAGGAAGTCTGTGAGATGAAATTCCTTCTGTCCAAGAAAACAATGAAGAAAGTCAACTCTGCAGCAATTGTGAAAGGCATTAAGTGTGTAAATCCATGTAGTACCTTCATTTTTTGACTGCTTTGACTGTCTCAGTTAATTCCCGTTTCAGGATTCAGGGGAAAGTGGAGAGCATTGTTTTGGCTTTGACTCTGTGTTTGCCCAATGGCTGAACACAATAAAACATACCAAATTACAAATATTCTTAGCAAAGACCAACCAGTTTCAGATATTCACTGTCATTTCAAGATAATCCACAGACACTGGCTGTGGGGTAGACATTAAGGTCGTAAGAAATCTCAGGCTAGAAGTCCATGTCTTCTCCATTTTTTGCAAAAATTCTTGTTAGT